AACGATACTAATCTACTTAAAACAGCTGTTTAAAGTTGTACAAATTGCTTAAGTGATTTATATTCTCTCATAAGTAGGACTATTTGCTACTTTACTAAACTGAACATCATTGATTTTTCGTTTTTCATGAACTTCTGATGGCTAGTTCAAGTAGCATTGTCTTTTGTGCAGGTTTACTGAATACGTCCCTTTAAAATTGGGTCTTTCGTGGGTTTAAAGGGTCAAAATGTTGGAACTTTGCACACTGTGGAACGTTTGGGGTGTGTTTCCTTTAATTTGGCAAGAACTGCATCAAATTACTTGATAAGAGAGCAGAAATGTAGCAACTTAGGCTGAAAAGTACTGTTTTCAATGAAAAAACGAAAATTGCTGACTCAGCAAAATTTAGATCGTCGTCTCCAGAATTTTAGGGGTTAATTTGCAAAACTTTAAATGGTCCCATAGAAACATATGCGAAATATGGCTAAATTCGACATATTTCTCGAAATTCACTAATAAATGTGGTTGATATTAGGTAGAAAGCAACTTACTTTTTCACCCATTGGAATACATGTAAAATTGGCAAAGTTCAAATCATAATTTCTCAAATCCCAGCCCATCGAATCCTCACATCCATTCAGATCATGTAGTCCTATTCAAAAACTTCCCGTTCGGTTATATGGTGAAAAAAATATCCCACGAACGAAAAAAGATTTTGCTACATTTATAAGCGAGCATTGATTTCTGGGCCTGTAAAAAGCACGTAGGACCTGATTACCCCATTGATTTACTGAGACCGCCAAAAATTTAATTCAATTTTTTGGTTCAAAATAATAATCTGTCAGCGGTCCCTGACACTCCTACTAGCTATCACCAAACATTAATTGCCAATACATGTACACATATACGTGCCATACATCTACAAAGTAGCGAACTAGTGTATTAAGTACTACTTTTCCTATACGATGAGCAAAACAAATCTCAAGTAGGTTATATTGACCCTTAGTCATTATATCCACGAGCTGTTATATCTTAGCGCATATTTATGTATTCAATATTTCATATTTTTATTACAGAGTGAGAAAAAATATTATTGGTAAATTAACTTTGCTACTAGAGGTTTTTAGATTTTTTACTGGTATTACTCCACTATTAATCCGCTCGGTAGAATGAACACCACTATTATTAGAAAAAATAATTTGTCGGAATTCTTTCATTGATTTAATAAACTGAAGCGTCTGGATGATATATAAAAATTGCATTGTTAATCTAATCAATATTTTAAGATGATAGGTTTAGAATTAGGCTTATATAAATTATGATCATTTTTGTGAAAAAATGATCATTTCTTTCCATTTGTCGTGGTTTCTAGAAGGTTTGAGTTATCTCGTTCCAAGACTATCTCTACGTTCTAGTCTTGCGAACGTCTTATTCTTTTGTCTGTACGATTACAACATGGGGGAATTTTCTACGCTACTTACACTTAAGATACCTATTTCAATAGATTCCTTGGTATTTTAGCATTCTTTTTGTGTAGTTGAATCCACAATTGTGTGGGTTTATCGGCAGAACGAAGAGGTTTTCGTTTTTGATAGCAATATTTGCGTGTAATATTTAACTTATTCAACCGTCAAATTCCTCCATTCAGTTCCCGGCATGCACCAGTCATAAGGGAAATCCCTGGGGAATTCCCCTTCCGACATTTTGAAAATTGCTGATATATTTCCGATGTAAAAACTAAAATCTCTTCGTTCTGCCGATAAACCCATACAATTGGCGATCTAACAACATAAAAAGAATTCTAAAATACTCTGGAATGTATCGAGGTAGGTCATTTAATAGTGCAATGCGTAGTTCATTCTCCGACATTGTAGAAAGACAGGCTTACCAATGATACCGGCGTACGACCACAATCTAAAGGGGTCGTAGGATGCGATAAGGTTTGAGTAGTTCTAGACCGTGTTCAGAGGAAATGTTGAGACGCAGTGATACAAGAGGTATATCTGCATGGTATGGTCAATGTTTCTACGAAAGAGAAAGAACCATATTTCAAATTCTTACCCTTGTTCTTCTCAGTGTTATTGAAATATGATTTCAAATGTTTTCTAGTTTGCCAGAGAGATTTCGCAACTCATAGTAGCATGTTAATCTTTTAAGGATTTAAGCCCTTGACTCAGTGCAATGTGGAATGACCATGTCTTGAAGGTGTTGCTTTCCAAAATTTGCACGAGATGCGAGAGGATAATAGCAGCGACGTAGCCAGCTTTCAGTCAGGGTTGGGGGGGGGGGGGGGGGGTGCGATCACCCAAAGAAATTCGGTTTCAGTCAGGGGGGGGGGGGGTGCGATCGTGGCATAAGCACCCCCACCAAAAGAAATTTAAGCTTTGTTTTGAATTTTACAAAAATTGCAAATTGATGCAACTTCCTTCAAAATTGAGCTAATGAGAAGCTTCAAATAATATTATAATATACTAATATTATGCCTCACTCACATTTGATTGAAGGCAACCGTACGGTGACCGTAGCTTCCCAAATCGAGAGAAATATGCAATTTAGGGATACGCAGTACGTATATCACGGTGTTATAGCATGACAGTTACGACACCTCTGAAAACGAGATTAGACGACGACGATCACTGATTTAGCCAATAAAATGGCCGCGATGGAACAGAAAACTAAGGTTGGTGCATTATTTTCTTCTACTGTGTATCAATGAAAGGATGAACGATTGTTGTGGGCATCGCATTCGGTGATGCATTTAGTAATGTATATTTTGAACGTATTCTTTGCAAATTGATGCCCGGGGATAACATGAAATAAGCGAAAAACAGTTGAGTTTGAAATTCAAAACTCCACAAAATTAGTAATTTGTTTGTTTTTGTCGTTAGGGCATGGTCTACATTGCCTAACGACCTCGGGGTATATAGATGACTTAGATGTAACCTACATACGGTCATAAAAAGCCAATTGAGCATTGGAAACAACCTAATATGTTGTACTTAAGCCATAATATTGTATTTTTAATTTGCGTTTACGCAAAAAATTGATTGACGGTTATATGTTTATTGTATCTCAGATTCATTGTTATTAATTTTGTCATATTCATCAGAACTTCAGGCTAATTCTTCTTCTGCCTCTTCATTGCTATCTTTTTGACTTAATTGGTTTTATAAATAAAGCAAGACACAATTTTTTCCTTGCCCTATAGAGGCTCAAACAAGAGCGTCTCTTGCGAGTCCTGAAAACAAATATAAGCAATTCAATATTCCATTTTTTACCCATTATAACAATAACGTGGAAAGAGGCTATCAGAACTAGCAACCTTGACTTGAAAGATGTACATGCACGTAACCGTCCGCTAAATATCTAATGCACATCTAATACAATACGTTACCGTCCATAGAATTCATGCGTAGTCGTCTAACTAGATTGCGTTTGAAACCTTATTATTTACAATATGACCACGTTCCTGTTCTGGATTTGTTATTTTATGGCTTGTTTATACACAGTTTACTTACTGTTAATAGTTTGAGTGGCTCTGGGGCACATATACTGAGAAATCACGAGAATGGACTGAAAAATATGACATCGCAGTCGGTAGGTTTACAGCTTATATTCCACTTCTAGTAAACCACCTGGCAGATTTGACCCAGTCTTTATAACCATCCATATATACGTCACCGAATGGAACTAGTTGAAAAGGAAATCTTATCTGTGAATATTGCCTACAGGCGAGAAAGAGGACACGCTGTCTTTCCCATCCGCCATTTTTTGTTATCGTTACCGCAAAATTTTGCAAAACGCCTTGACGTAACCGTCATGCTATAGCACCGTGTATATGAAAGCCTCAGTCACATTTGTAACGGTGGCCGTGCGGCGAATTTTGTGAAGACATAAAAACCACGGTTGCTGTACGGCTTATAAATTATGGCGCGTGACCAGGATTAAATTTTGGCGAGGCAAGTTTTCAGCCGAAATGTTTTAAAATAAAATGAAAAATTCGACCCCATCCTCCCCAACCTCTTTAAATACGAAGTAAAACAGTATAACATAATCCAGGTAATCTGATTGAAGGTGGTTATTATAAAGGTAGAAACAGATGTAAGATGTGTCAGCAAGAAACTTGCCCGACTGACCAACCAATATATTTTCTTAACCGTCTCAAACTTATTATCTCCAAAAAGAGAGAGGGTAATTTGAACATCAACATTTGAAAATTTATGGAACAAAGTACATGTAACTTTGCGGATTTAAAGAACAAAGTATAACATGAAGGAGTGAAATGAGTCAAAATTATTTTTAAATTAAGACAAACTTAAAAGGATTTGAGTTGGATTCGCCTTTTATACGCGAGCCGACACACTCGCAAACGCTGATTGGATAAAGATTGCGAGAATCTTTAAACCAGACATCAACAATTCTGAAAATTTTACACATCGTCAATCTAATGATCATCTTTTGAATGGTAACAGTTTAATTTGAAAAAGATATACTTTTCTCCATACTGTTTTAGAAAACACACCAGACACTTCTTTTGTTCTTGGTCTCATATGTTCGGAATGAAACGAAACATCTATCCGAATCTCATTGGATCAAAACGACATACAAAGTGTAAATTATCCTAAATATCCACATAGATTTTTGAAAAATTTTGTCCACTTTGTTAAGTATTGCTTTGTAATCATGAAGATAATGTTAGTGCAGATTTACCTTACGCCTAAATTCTCCCACGGTATCTATTATCGTATCTGGCATATACCGGTGTAAAAGGGTAGGAGGTGCTATCAAATTATGGTCCTACTTTCCATGGATTTATATGGTGACCTAAATACAACTCTTTCCCTTATCATCATATCCACAATCAGGGCCAGTAAGGGCCTTTAAGAAAGGGGACCATAATCCCCAGGGGACAATAATTTCTTTTACACCGGGATCCATTTTGATACTTTTCTGTTGAGCTGTTATTTTTAGGATAAATGTACGCATACAAATTGAAATTCCTGAAAAAATCGTTTGACTGACAAATGAATGCTAAATAGGAAGTTTAGCCCTACTTGGTGATCACCCTATATAATGTATGTGAAATATCTTTGGACTAGAGTGGACTGGGTTTATAACAGTCCTTAGCGCAGAATTTCATTAGATGTATTTTCATTAAATGTTGAGCCTAAGTGCCATTGTAGTTAATTGAATATGCCAAAATATGTTTTGCAAATTGTAGATACACGAAATCAAAATTCAAATGAAGCTCCGTAATTTCTTATCTTTTTTAATTTTGGTTTTTGTTATGGGTACAAAAATACTCTTCAATTAATATGTGCTAATGAAATTACACAGAACAACAATGCACTATTCATTAAATAAATGACAATCAGAAATATGAATTTTCAACTTTCATGCATGCAATATGTTAAGGATATTTGGATAAAACATCTCATAACCCTAGATTAAGTGAAAACATGTCTGATTCATTGTCAAAATTGGTGATACCATGGGCTTTCAACTAGAAGGGTAGGCAACTTCCCATATTTCATACATAAACATTGCCATGGGTTTTCAAAATTGGAGAATGTACACATTCCAAGAAAATCTTATTTTGTACTTTTTATTGATGATTAAAAGAAATAACTCAAAAATAAAAACATGATCTTCTACATACATCTTGATAATTTAATAAAAATTGGAATTTATCATGATTATGACAATACAGAAAGTGAACATTCTCCCACAAATTATGTTTTTATTGGAATGTGTTCTTGAATAATTACCCACAATGCAATACTCAAAGAGAACATCCGAACTCCCGTGCAGTGATATATCTATACCGAGACACTGCATAGGAGTTCGAGAGAACATCTTGATAACTCTTATTCTTATTGGTCTCTTTTGTTTACTTTTATATGATATTGAATATATTTTATGCTTAAATCATATTAAAAATTGATTTTTATTCAAAATAATACTAAAACATATACATTTATCTAATACTTTTTGAAATATTGCTATAAAAGGGAAGCATGTCATTGCTCATTTTGAAGGTCTCATGTTAATATGATTTTTCAAGGTCGTGATTAATACTTTGAGGAAACTTATAGAAAAATGATAAATAGAAATAACACTTTACAGAGCCTCCCTCGCGCCCCTGTACGGCATTCTTGATTCATTGCAAATCATCCTCATTGGTTGAGAGTAAACAATAACAAACATCAACAATGGTTCATAGATACTAATTAGCAAGCCGGAATCATCTTTTGAAGCCCTATGCCAAGTAACTCCAACAGTCAATGCGAAGAAATCGGACGAGACACTTGTTAGAGTAGCCAGTATATCTTTGAGTAGATTAATTACTGATAACGATTCTACCTAAAATGAAGACATAAATGAATTAGACAAATAGAAGTCCTAATTCACAATCAGTGCGGAATAATCCATATACAGTTGAGCAAAGGATCTAGTTCATTCATGACAATTATATTTTGAAGATAGAAAGCAAGTAAGTTGGAACAAGAACGGAAATTGGTTGTGTCAATATTGGATTTGTTTACTCAATAATAATCGCTTATTTCGAGGAAACATTCATACTGTCCTTTGCTCATCAAGAGGTCGACTCTAACTGAATTGTGGATTCGAGGAGAGACAACAACGAGAAGGTGTGACCAACAAGTTCGAACAACACCTAGACTTGTCAAACTAACCTGTAACTTTTCGAAGGTGAACATGATAAAATCAAGGATTTGTCTAGAAGGAGATGACTCCTCGAGTCACAACAGCGACGATCAAGATGAAGTATTTTACGATGAAGCTATTCTACCAAAATCAATATCGCAGAACAATCAAATCCAATCAGATGCGAAAAATGCCTTTGCCAAAAATGGGAACAATGCTTTCAAAAATGCGCTTCAGAATCTCACAAATTATAGCTATAGCCAAGGAGTAGAGACAAATGGACATGTAAATGAATATAAGATAGAACAGAGTCCATCCGTGATTGCTGCGCTGCAAAATGTCACCAGGGCAAGGAATGAAGCTCAAATAATGGCAGGGCAATACCCTCGAGAACCCAACATGGCGAACCTCATGGCTTCAAAAGGAAACGCAATGCAGTTGAACGAACACAATCAGCAAGTCGCAGAGCAAATTCCGTACGCGGTGAGACAGAACAACGGAATTACAGGCCCACCGAGAAATATCTCCCCACAGCATCAGCAGGCCACGTATCCATACAACGGTATGCCCGATCAGAGGATGAGATCCACAGGCATTGGCTCACCCCCAGGGATTGCGAACGCCTCATCCACAGGCACGGCGAAGATTCATTTGTGCAATCAAGAGCTTTGGCAAAGGTTTCATCAACACACCACTGAGATGATTATCACAAAACAGGGACGGTATGTAACTTTCTTTGTATAGTGTGATGTTTTTTGCATAATAATCTTTATTTACATAAACGAAGCATCGGTGGGGAGGCCCGAGGTCCAAAGCCATATCAGGAACGTTCTTCAGGAGTTTGACTCAGTATTGTAACAAATCTTTCTTGAAACATCCGATATACACAGTATTTGTAATTATTCGTGGATGTATTTTTGTTTTTGGCTGATCAAAATGATGCCATATAAATAAAAATCCACTGCTATAGCAGCTATAAAATACCCTTGGTCAATGGATCATGGATATATCAGATAATATATCAGATAATCTGATATTATATAATCTTTGCTATCAGCCCATCACATGAGAAGAATTGCATTTCATAATAAACAATGTATTCTATTGTGCCAACATATTAACGCATACACAGGTGATGCAACTCATAATCAGATGAAATTTAACTGAGATGAAATATCTCAAAATACCTTAAATCTGGTCTCTTTGATCACCAGATCTACATGTAACCCATAATAACATGCCATCTCATGGCCGAGAAGAAATGAGATGTCATGGTTGTTGGTAACTTGATCGTCGACAACCTTTCATAGAGAATGCAGGTGCAAACATTCATTCATTTTCTTACTCAAAAGTTTTCCTAATTTTTGAATAATGCAGTCAGGTAGACTAGTGGAAACTTAAAATCATTCAAAACTACAACCAAAAGTAGACTATACATTTCATCCTTTCACCTAGTTTCTTAATCCTCGTTTGCACCAATGTTATAAAATAGTTGTCAAGGATGAATAATACGCGAGAACAACATGTAGCTAGGTTAATTTTAAAAATTCACCTCAGACTACATTCTTGCATCTTTTTCCATGGAAAAAAACATTTCGAAATTACATACATCGTGGTATTAATAGAAAGGATCATTTTGTTTTTTACTCATCAATTTGTTATTGAAACATATATAGCAACAGCAATTAATAGTATATAAAATTATAGTAACCAAAAACCGGTAACCATAGCAAAAACAATTAGAAACGAACAAAAATGTAAAAATAATGTAACTTAATTTGATCAACGCGCCCACTTTGACTTCCCACACAAGGGGCAAATTAAGGGAGGTTTGGTAAAAATGGTAAACAACCATTGTTCTTATTTTTTCTGTTAATATCTATATCTGGTTCTTAGGTATGCTATATTTACAATCTTAGAATAAATTTGAAACTACCTATTTCAACATCAAACAGTTCAGCGGAAACAATTAAACAATTGTTTTTAAATGATATCTATAAACAACAACAAAATATTATATTCGGAAGTCTACCTCCAGTTTATTGTTTTAATTGATTTCAATGAATCCGTCATCAAAGAGCTAATTTATATTTCTGGCGGAAACGATATCTCTGTTTGATCTGCCTTATTAGTCCTCAATTAAACTACTTCAATCGGATTCTTATGAGCTTGTTTAATAACATGTTGTTATTGTCTTGATAATAGGAAAACAAAGGAAACGATACATTCATATTAGTACCATCAAAGTGTTGAGTTAATTGATTGTTTTAGTTTAAGAAACGCTCACTCGAATTTATTTTTGGCTTGTGACATATTTCTTTTGTAGCTCTCCCAGATTTGATTAATAATTATGTTTGTTCGTTTTTTTTTATTTATGTTTGTTTGCACATTTAGCCAAATCACATATTTAACTTGTGTAATAAAAAAGTAGTCCTGAACCAAACCTTTTTATTTTAAAGACTTTATAGTATTATTAGAGACTTAAGTACCGCTTGTTTGTATTTTATGTTGTTTGTGTGTGGCTTCTTGCTTGCTTCCCCGCTTAGTGCATGTCCCGCTTATATGCTTTTAGGCGCATGTTCCCCGTGTTCCAGCTTAGCGTGTCTGGCTTAGACCCCCAAAAGCACTACAATGTCTTCGTAGACATGATTGTCGCGGATCCTAATCACTGGAAATTCCAAGCCGGCAAATGGACCCCGTGTGGTCAAGCGGACCAGATGCACCATAGTAAGTATACACTGTTCGGATTTGTAGCTTATGTTGGACTTATGCTGTCTGTATTTGAGAGAGGTGTTAAAAAGGCCAGGGACAGTGGATATTAGCAAAAACAAGTAAACACAGCAACCATTATTGTTTTTTTCAACAGGAATGACTGCATGGATTTTATATCGTTCTATAAAAGTGCATCGCTGTGGCTATTTTCTATTTATTCAAGACCATTTTGTTTTAAGACGTTCTGATATGCAAATCCATTTTAACTGATGAATTTGCGAAACGTCTCTGAAATCAAACTCTTTGATGGAATATATTTGAATTAATTATATATTATTGTTGTTCATTATCTTAATGCATTCGATAATCAACGAGAATATACATGTACGTGTTCACCTTGTGTGATATACTTTGATCTTTTACAATGCCTTAATATAAATATATACTGACTTATTAGTGAAATTACATATTTTAATAATCATTATACATACATCAGCTTGTTAATTAGGATGGGTGTGAAAGTATATCTAGTCACGCCCTGTCACTCATAGGGCTATCTTTGATACCAACTCCATTGATGTTACGCACGCGAGAATACCAAACTGTCAAACGTGTTGTGAATTTCAGACTAATAAGGGGATTTTTCAGCTGTGTCTTCTTGTGATTGCTAATTTGCACCAAGCAGTCGGTTCTAGCAGGAGTACAATATAGAATCTTTTGTTACTCTTAACCCTAACCATTTTCTCAGAGAATAAGTCATTAACTTGTTTTTAATTTTCTGTTTGAACTTTGCACAACAGTTACTCGGATCTATTTTGATGAAAACTTAAAATTTCCAACACTTCAATTTTGCGCTCTTAGGATGCAATCTTCTCAGACCCCTTGTCCCATATTCCCCAGATTACCAGTTACTTTCATCTTATTGTGTTTTACTTTCAGACGGCCGTGTTTACCTGCATCCTGACTCACCCAACACAGGTTCACACTGGGAGAAACAAGACATTATCTTCAACAAACTCAAGCTCACAAACAACAAGAACTGCGATCAAGGATATGTAAGTGATTTCAATATATTTTCTGGGGTTTCTTTTTCTTGCATTCGCTTAATGTGGCGCACTCAATGCTACCCTCGAATATACCGAACTCAGCCATGCTGCAGGATTCATTCATGACAATCCAAACTTGTAATCTAAAATGAATTGATATTTATTTCGAAGATTTGCTAATGCTAATTTTGATTGAAGAACGGGTGATTTATTGACCGAGCCTTTAGTAAACCACCAAATTCTAGTTCTTTATAACAGCATAAAATGAAATGAATAAAAGATGTCGAGCAAAGCAAAGCAGACAGTAAATTGACTATAATATACATGATATAGGTTTAGGCATCTTTCAATTCAGATGACAGGCTCGTTTTCTACCTCGTCGAAATCCAGACATGTTGGGCTGTCTCATTGTAATTGTAATGTAATGCAATACAATTATGTAATGCAAGAAAAATGCAATTACGTTTTGTTTTATATTGTATTTTATTGCCTTATGTTACATTGTTTTGTATTGCAATTGTATTGTCTTGCCTTATACTGCATTGCAATTGTATTGCATTGTGTTGCATTATTTGCATTGCTATTGTATTGTTTCGCCTTGGATGATACAATGTCTTCAATCACTCATCGCACGTATTTCAGATGGTGCTCAACTCGATGCATAAGTATCAGCCACGCATCCACATCATCGAGGTGAACACTGCTGGGGCCAGGGAACAGAAAAACCTACAAACCATCAGCTTCCCGGAGACGCAGTTCATCGCCGTCACTGCTTACCAGAACACCGACGTAAGTCAATATTGCAGTGGTTACATTGTATGAGTCAAAATGTTTTTTAGAGCCCAATATCGAAACTTGTTACGTGAAATACAATATTGGAATTAAAATTAAAGTAAAGGATGGGTAATTAGAGGCCGTTTTTAGTAAATCAACTTATTTTGCTAGCCTCTATAAATTGAAAGGTTTAAGAGATAGCCGTGATGTGTTTGGAGAAAGGCAAATTCATTAAACTCTTGAGGAATGCTAGATATATAATATTGAATCTTTGTTGTATTATTTTAGATAACACAACTGAAGATAGACAACAACCCTTTTGCCAAAGGTTTCCGGGATACGTCCTTTGATCGCGTTCGAGATATGAGAGACCGTTTCAGGGAGTACCCACACAACGGCCCGCATGCAGCCCCAGTGGCAATCGCTCCAGTGCCTCGCCCCTATAGCCAACCACATCCTGCCCAATATACACAACAGATCCCGTCTCAGTACGAAAGACCAGGAGTTCCAACAACAGGGATGTACAACATGACATACGACCAGATACAGAGGGTAGCCCCACAGACACCATACCACACCATTGACGAGAGGGAATCGTATGTTCCAAATGGAGATTGGACTATGGGACAAGGCTATAGACAGTACCCAGGCGCCTATGAATCTGCTCCACTGTCCAACTGTCAGCCAATCACCGAAGAGATGCAGCCTCCGATAGATTACACCAACTTTGGTCAGCTAAGGAACACATCTCCGACTTCCGTCTACTCAATAACATCTCCTTTATCATCGATAGGAACAACACAAAACACCAAAACGGAACCTCTGGACCTGCAGTCATCGTATGTAGAGTACAAACCGAGCCTTGTATCAATGGAACCCTCACAATCAATGGCGGGAAAACGATCGTTCGATTCCTATTTGGTTGAACCTGAAACAACCCCGAGTGACAGCAATGGACCAACAATGAAACGTCAAAGACTATCAGATGGAGAGTCACCCACATCTAGTTCCCCGGATGTCGATTCTTCCTTAGAGGACCCTCAGATTACAGGGATTGACACAGACGGACAATTCACCTTTTTCTCTAGACCAGAAATGGGTCATTATCATATGTCGGACATATCATCTGTCCATGGTTTCGGCACGTCTGGTGGAGCAGATATTATGGACACTAAGTTTGGAGCTTTTCAAAATGGACAGACATACTCTGAAGATTTGAATAAAATGTAGGCCTTAAATGTTGACAGCATAATGTGTATATAATTTGTGAATAGGTATTTATTTTTCTGTGTGTTCATTCACACATACGGACAAACAAATTGCTCATCTGTCGCTATTGTTGGTTACCAGCAATGGTATCTAAGCTAGACTACGTCGAAAGCTCATTTCCGTTCAGTCAAACTGAATAATTATAGATATTATTGAGTATTTTCTGTATAAAAAACTAGAAATGTAAAAATAAATGATGTGTACCATATACCAGTGTGTATTTGTAAAAATCTAATATCATGTTTTTAGTACTTTTTACACTCCGTTGAGATCGGACATAATTAATTACAATACTCTCTCATCCCAAGAGACCCGACTGATGAAAATATGAAATAACTCCTTTGTTATTTATCAGACAAATACATATTTTATTCCAGACCACAGTTCAAATGATGTTATTACAACTATCAATCTTGTAAAGTTGAGAACCAATCAAAAGTGTGTTAAAACATAACATACTGTATTTAAGCACATTCGCTAATTTATCAATTGTCCGTAGCCAGCTTTCACCAAGTGGGATGGAAGGGGGGGGGGGGGGGTTCAGAGGCGGGAGCCTTTTGACAGTTTTGGCTAGAAAATCATGAAAAAATTGCTCATAATTGTGAATTGTGAAAAACTGCTGATTTCGAAATAATTTCTGGTCCGGGGGAAGCATTTAAGTCATATTAAGCTTAACAGTTATACATTTTAAAGTTATAAACGTTACAGTTTTTAAAGCCATCAGTGGCTAAAACTATTCCACGTGATCCACGCTACAAGGAACTATCGAATGCATGAAACAGTATAGGCTGACACAAACGGATATCATTAGTTTTATTGTGGGGATAACGTGTAAAATGAAGTGTACTATTTTCAGCGTTATCGCATGTTCCTTTCAGAACTTAGATATACAGTAGTACCAAAAAGTTCCGAAAAGTAAGCCCAATGTCCTGTTTAAGAACCCATACATATCTTACTTTTGAAAATGGATTCTAGCAATACTATCCCACATGAATATCTACTTGTCGAGACTTGATCAACCTGAGTTCTTCAGAGAAAATGAGGATTTCAGCAAGGATGCCATTAACAAATGGGGACATACACCATTGACCAATGACTTAGCATCGGGATACCATCATGTAGGTCACCATGCTAAGTCAATGCACCCTTGCTGAAATCTTCATTTTCTCAGAACTCATTTGATCGAATCTCAACAAGTAGATTCCTGTTGGATAGTATCGCTTGAATCCATTTTCAAAGGTAAGAATATGGGTTCTTAAACAGGACATTAAACCTTAACTAAGGCCTTTTTGAGATTTTTGTTTAGTACTAATAGTGCTGATTGCTGAAGAACCCTTTGATATGGGAAATGGGTTACATGGGTGCAGGGATGTGGAATAGTGTTCGTTTTCTGGAATGCAAGTTATAAACCTTGGCATAAGCCGTGGCCACATTTGCTACGATTTTTAGCACAGTGCCAGTTTTTCAAACAAAGTACTCATCGACCATGCGCCGGTGTTTAAGATCGAAACAGATCGTGACCACGGCATTGCACAGCTCCCGATAGGCTAAAGGGCGATAGAAATTTAATTTCCACATGACAATAAAAGTTCTATCTCTGCTGCCATCTTTATATCGGCATTCAATCTACGGTTATTTTAATCTTGAATATGAACTTTTGCCCCAAGACTGTATATATATATGAATTTAAGCATAAATGAAGTCCTTTGAAGAAGGATGCTGTAGCCCTCCCCTTTTGTACCTCACCAGTACAACTGTTATGTAGGTTTCAAGGGTCTTCAAGCAAGAGTACGGGATTAGTTCTAGAACTATTGTTTAAGAGAAAGGCGTGTTCAAAAAGTTCACCATATCGATACCACTCCTTTAAAAAGATGCCCAGTAACGCTACATTGCCATCTAAATTATTGGTCAATTTATGGAGGGAGAAGAAGATTTGGAGCCCTTAAATCTTTGGGAAATTTTTCCCCTAGCCTCCATATCTGCCACTGTGGAATCAGTATGCAGTGGGACTACATTCCCAGTGATGGGGTTTGTTGCTAGCTGCTGATGTTAAAAATAATCGCATCAAACCTAAATGTCACAATCGTACATTCATAACATTCTGAATTAAGACTTTGATAAATGATACACGAACAGTTCCCATTAATAAATATCCAATTTGAATAATTTGCTCGTCTGTTGAGACATATTAATAAACATCCGGTTGGTAATCTAAGAATGTCAAATACAATGATGAATTTTCTCTCTTAGACTAAATATTGTCTCTTGTCGTTTGGGTTGTCTTTTCACTGAATTATGACTTGACGTTGCAATAGAGATTCCAATTAACAATGGCATCTGAATAAACTGCTTGTATTTGCTATGATTGATTTGTCTCTTAAGACTAACATATGACAATGTGTCAATGTCAAAATAAATTTACTCTTTCGAAATGGATTGTTTGGAACATGTTTTTATCGGTATTTGCAAATAATACACCACACCTCTCCATAAGTTTGGTTTGAGCCAATCTATGTTTGAACTTTAGGAATACAAACTCTTCGGATGATTTTTTGAAAATTTACCATTGTTGAAATTCACTATTAGTGCTGTTAACTATATTAACCATCTTGACTAGATAGAGGCAACAAAAAGCTCTAAAAAGCAAGCCCCATATCACTGGCGAATCTGGGGGGGGGGGGGGGCATAAAAATTGGGCTCAAAAACAATTTGGGCCAAGAAAGGCCTTAAAGTCCCAAAAAGTGAGCCTTTTTGATTTTTAATTTTAGGCCAAAATTTCGATCGATAGATGGGTCCAGATATGTCTTTGAGGGACAGGATAGATTGCCACATGAAATGCATTCCCGAAGGCAGACTATTTTGATTAAATGTACACCAGTAAACCGTGTGCATCAGGAGTAAAAATAATCCCAGATTATACCTGCTTCTATATCTGAAATAATCTTGCATCAAGCCCACATTACCCTCAATTTCTTTCATACACAGAGGGATGCAATGGCTTGATGGACGAGAAATGATGGTAAATTGTGAAATAAAATGTTGATGTCAGACGGAGTGCAGGATAATGGACTGTTCTTAGTGGTTACGTCTTAAAACTTTAAATAAAAGATATACTACCACTTAACGAAGGCAGGATTAATACATCAACTGCCATTATCTTCCTAACTTAGGGGTGACTTGGGAAAAACAGATCACGGGGCAAGAAGAGACACTCCATTTTCTCAGCGCTTGTCCAGATGACAACGTTTGTCAATGACTTGATCAAAGGTTGCGTCAACAAATGCAAATGCAAATTGTAGACGCCGAGAATCATAAGGACCAACTTAAAGGTCCATGTGCAGTATGGCAAGTGGTTTTAGACGGTCATATCTTTCAGCATGTAGAGTACTTTCTGGTCATCAATACTGTGGTTTTTATTAAAACAATATGTTTTCTTTCACGTGAAGTCCCCATGTTAGTAAATTATCAATCCAACTTTCTGAAAAATTATGGATTAGGACCCCACATTGGCACTTTTTTTTAAAAATGTTAGGCGCATTTTCTAAAACGAGGATCTTGTTTTTCTCAATTTGAACATATCAAAACTTTCTTCTACACTATACTAACAATTTCTGAAAAGGGGATGTGTATTGAAATGCGTTAAAGTTAAAAACCACATAGCCCATATTATTTTCCCATAGGGAGAATTCGTGCTATCCATTGTTTTCAGCATAGTTTTGGTCATCGAAAATGGATATCTTCAAAACTAGACTTTCAATACCATTCTACTCTTGAAGAAGTTTAGACCCCTTGTTGAATAATCTTTTCATGCAATAAAAACCAGAAAAAGAAGAATTTCTTTTAACAGTTTGAGTAAATAGGTTCAACATTTTGAAAAAATGTTGATATGGGGTCCCTTTTAATAATTTTCGAATTGTTCGATTGATATTTTTATCATTATGGGTACTTCACTTGAAAGAAAACATATTGTTTTATTAATAACAAGGTCAAACGTTAATCAGAATATCAACACTCAACTACATCCTTCGAAATCGGTCCTTCACTGCTTTCATAGCAGATCATTAATGTAATGCAATGAATTACTCTTGGGCCAAGGATGACTCAACTATTCTACTACTGGTTAATGAAAATACAGAATGAAATCCTGATGTGAGGGCAACCCCAGTGCGGATCGAACCCACGACCCCTCGCTTACCGTGCGATTACATGACGTATATGACAATGAAATGGCTCTATCCCAGCAAACAGTGACGTCCATGTAACGTCACTCATATGTGGTATATAAGTTCACTGGAGACGTTGTATATTTCCGTTATATGAACGTCAAAGCAACGTAAAATTGTGACATTCAGCAAAACGTCGGTGGATGGTTAAAAAATGACGTTGTAGTAATGTGTTAGTAAAGTTCGAAATTTGTGCTGGTGTGAAAAACGTAACAATGACGTTGAATTTTTACCAGTTTGGTTCATTTGCAACGTAATACAAACGGTAAAATTTAACGTTGTCGTAACGTTTTTTAAATGTGTAAAATATTTGTAAGTGCAGGAAACATTACAAAGACGTTGCAGTTCTCACCAAATTGTTTCATTTGCTACGTAATATAAACGGTAAAATTTGACGTTGTCGTAACGTGTTTTAAATGTGAAAGATATTTGTAAGTGTAGAAAACGTTACAAAGACGTTGTGTTCTCACCAAATTTGGTACATTTGCTACGTAATGTAAACGGTAAAATTTGACGTTGTCGTAACGTGTTTTAAACGTGAAAGATATTTGTAAGTGTAGAGAACGTTACAAAGACGTTGCACTTCTCACCAAATTGTTTCATTTGCTACGTAATATAAACGGTAAAATTTGACGTTGTCGTAACGTGTTT